TKVWWATWGMTCAACCAAGTAATTTATTACACAAACAAAAACTGATATCTAACTTCATGTTTGAAATGAATATTGAGCTAGGTCAAAGTGGTAATCATGTAAGTTAGGCAGGCAAAAGCATTGTTACTGAACATATCTACAATCTTGTCACCAACTTATGTTATAATGCTATCTCTTATACTCCACATAGTGCTAATAGTGTTCATTGGGGAATATGTTAGTTCTAGTAAAATTTCATGTTGTTACCCATGGAAGTGGAAATGGAAATATGCTGTGAAAACTATTTCTTGTACTCCACATAGTGTCGGTAGTATTCATTGCAGAGTATGTTGATTCTGGTAAACTTTTGTGTTGCTACCCATGGAAATGGAAATATGTTGTGGAAATATCAGGGAAATTAGGGACATTTTAAACCATGGCTTTAGGTAACTTGGCTTACCGGATTAGTGGTAAAAAGGGCGGCCCAGTGCACGAAGATCCCACCAATGCAGGATCTGGGGAGGGGCAGATGTACTCAGGCTTACCCCTGCACATACAGAGGCTGTTTCCAATATTTGAACCTTGGTAACCCAGGTTGCAATGGAGCAACCCAACTGTTGCGCCAAGGCCCACTCTCGTTTACTGGGTTAATGGTGCAAAAACAAAATGATTGTGAGAAACTTATGCTGGGTCCTTTTCTGTTTGTCTTCTCTGAAAATCATTCTCTCCACATCCTGCAACATGGAAGACAATTGTTAAATAGATTTGATTTAAAGCTGGGGCCTTTGATGAGCTAGGGTATTTGCAATGTCTTTTCATGCCTGCTGTACCTAGACCAACATGGCTGTCCAAGAGGTCTTATGTGGTTTTTCAGATGTGGACTGAGATTAATTAAATCTATTTGAATCAGATGGGGATATGTTGGGACCCAAATACCTTCCCCGAACCCAACAAAGGGAGTGGAGCAGGCCACTACCCATCAGCAGTACTCAAGGAGGCAGAAAGGACAGGCGACAGAGCCTCAGAATTAGTTACACACAGAGAGGGTGATTCTGCCGACAGAAGATATTC